TTAGGAGGTGGTAGTCTTTGGGGGTAGATTATGTTTGAATAAGGTCACAAAGTAGTCCCCATGATGGGATGAATGCCCTTATAAGAAGAGGAAGAGACACCATAGTTTTCTTTTTCTATCATTCGGGGAAACAGGTAACAAGCAGGTGGCAAGCTGCAAGACAGGAAAAGGCCCTCACCTGACAACTGAATTTGGCAGCATCTTGGTCTTGCGCTTCCCAGCCTCTAGAACTGTGAGAACTAAATGTCAGTTGTCTAAGCCTCCCAATCTATGTTATTTACAGCATACTGTATCATCACTTGTTGGACATTTGGATTATTTCCATTTTTTAGTTATTATGAATACTACCACTATGAATGGATATATAAGTTTTTGTGTGAACATATGTTTTCATTTCTCCTGGGTATATATCTAGGAGTAGAACTGCTAAATCATGTGGTTTTAAATTTTATTTATTTATTTTGGTGATATTATAAGAGGTGCTTGAACTGCTTTTGCTGAAAAGAACTTCCTTACTTGGGTCATGAATGAACTAAACACAGGAGAAAAGCTTGGCATCTCTGTCTTCATTTTGTACCTGTTGCCCTTTGCTCTGAACCATTGTCTCCTGCAGCTGAACGGGAAGATCACTCTAAAGCAGGTTATAAGGTTATAAGGACACCCGAGAAGTTGCTAGTTAAGCCATAAAATGGGTCCAGGGCCAAGATAAAAGGCCCCACATGGAGATAACTACCTATTCCCTACCTTTCTTTGTCTCCTTCCGTAAACAGACTTCCCAACACAGGTCCCCCGCTGCTCCCACCTAAACAGCGCCTGATCCCCTAACCCCATATGTTGAGCCCACCTATTAAGCAAACCCAGCAACGTTCACCAATAACCTGAAATTCACTGCACTGCCCTATAAAGAATCCTGTAATTTCACTCCTCTGGGCCCAGAATTTTGAGTGTGAGCTCATCTGGGACCACTGGCATTAAATAAAGTCTGAGTTCTCCTACTCCTCTGAGTGGTCCCACTCGGATTTTCGTCGTTCTACTATTCTTCTGAAGGTGTCACTCAGTTTCTCATTGAACAGTATTTCCACAGCCACCTTGGAATCAAGGAAGGACAGGAATAATCAATAACATCTTCATGACAAGGGCCTGGAACTCCCCCTAAAAGGAACATACAGAGCCCCTTGGCATAGGAACAAAACCATCCCTCCAAATGAAGTGAACAATTATCTATATCATGTTGCTATACCCTGAGGAGAATAATCAGTCTCATGGAACCACGATTGCTCCCCTTATAGTGATGGAAGTGAATGAACATCTTCTTCCAGAAAAACCTTTCTTGGGAACCCTCAGACTGAGATAATGGTCAACAACATGAAAATCGACCAATAAGGTGGGTGGATGGGGAAGGGGAATGAAGAATGGGGATGAATACATGGACTTGAGGTTTAATTCGAAAAAAACCATTAATGGGGGGGCGGAGTGGTGGGTAAGGGTAGGTGGGTGGGGGCAGGGGAGAATGACCAGCCCTTGTATGCCATAATGATATAAATAAAAGAACAAAAAAAAACACCATCAACCACTGATTTAAAGGTGTGGGAAGATAATGATGGCAAATCAATAGCATAGTCCCGCTGGGCCTCAAGAGAGGCGAGGAAGGAAAGAAGACATGTTCACTGCTGTGCAGAACGATTATTAATGGGGGAAAATGCAAAATGTGATTAAGGTCCAGAACAGGGATAGAGTCCAAAAGATCAGGAAATAAAGAACAAATAAAGAAAGAACACACCTGTGACTAGGACCATTTAACTATGCATACCTGTCTCCTGCCTCCAGTTCTCTTGTCCACATAGGTCATGTCTATACCCCAAAGACTGCTGAAGATGGGGTGAGTGGTTACTTTGCCTCTTTCCATGGCTTGTCAGCTTGTTGAAAGCCATGTAATAAATCTCCTTTCTCTGCTTCCATCATGCCTTTTTATTTGGCATATAGGGGTGAGTGGCTGGACTTGGCATATGGAAGCCCAGGAGTTTGGGACTTGGGTATAAAATCTAGTTTCAATACTGGGATTTGAACTTAGAGTTCAAGTTTGCTAGGCAGGCACTCTTACCACTTAAGCCACTCCACCAGCTCTTTTTTTGTGATGGGTTTTTCTGAGATAGAAAACTATTTGCCAGCGCTGTCTTAGAACGGTGATCTTCCTGATCTCTGCCTCAGGAGTAGCTAGGATTACAGGCATGAGTCGCAGGCGCCCAGCTGTGTTTTAAATATTTTGAAGACTGACCAGACTGTTTTTTTTTTTCTTTAATGATTGCCATCATTTTTAGATTCCTACCAGTAAGGTATGAGGGTTCCAATTTCTCTACATCCTTGCCAACTGTTGTCATTGTCTTGCTGATTAGTCATCCAGTGGGAGTGAAGCAGTACCTCATTATGGTTTTGATTTTGCATCTCCCTGATGGTGAATGGTGTTGAGCATCTTTTTAGGTGCTTATTGGCTATCTGTACATCTTGGGAGAAAGTTCTATTCAGATCCTTTGCCCAATTTCAAATTGAGTTATCTGTCTTTATATTGTTAATTGTCTGTTGCCACTTAAAGATGCTGTTTCTTTGTAAAGATGTAAAGATGTAAATCAAACAAAACAAAACCCCCCAAACCATTGATCAATTCTGGATTCCTACTGCAGCCACTGCCTTTTAAAAAGAAATTCCCATTTCTTGCAGAATTTCTTGAAAGAGCTTCCTACAGTTGTGGTTTCTGCCACTGTCTTTTCAGGCTGTTGCAACTTGGCCCCTGAACCTAACAACAGTTCACTGACACTGCTTTTGGCAAGGTCAGCAGTGGCTGTTCTGTTATTAAATCATGGACTTTTCCATTCTTAGCTTGATCTCCCTATGGTGTTTAACACTACGGCCCTCTTCATTTTTACAGAAAGACTAGAGATGCTTGGCTTAAGTGATAGCACATCCTTCCGACTTTTCTTATCTTTCTCACTGGGCTTCACTTATCCTAATTCTTAGATTTTGATATTCTTGAAGATTTTGTCCTCATCACTAGGCAAGTATGGTCATCCTCCTGAGTTCAATTACCACTTAATGTTGCTGCCTGGACTTCCTTCAAAGTTTCCCCATCTACTCATCACACTTCTATGGGGATTCCCATTCATCTTCAAAATTTTCTCTCAAACCAAACGTTTTATCTTTACCTCTTTCCTTCCTTACTCAGTGAAAAACACCAGTAACTGAATTCTGACAACTGAAACAAATTTCAGTCATTCCCATCTACTTTCTCCCTCCTTCCTTACAGCCTATGCCCTGGCCCAGTACCATTCTTCAGGAGACGACAATACCCTCCTGATTGGTCTGCCAACTAAAGCCAGAGATCTTTCTAACATGCAAAACCTCGCCCGGTAATTACTCTGTTCACATGAGCTATTCCAAGAGATGGGACTACAGTGGCTTTGGAGTCAGACACACTCTGGTGGAAGACTAACTTTAGTCTCTATGCCTCAGTTTTCTCATTTTAAGAAAAGTAGGGCCACAGACAGCACCATCTCATAGACCTTTCTGAGGACCGGTTCAGCCTGGCACATTTTAAGTGCTCAATCTATTTTAACTATTATTCCATTAAAACCGTTCAGTACAGGCAAATCAATGAGCCCCACTTTCATCCTAAAGTGTGGGGATTAAATGGAATGACTTCAAGGAACTCTTTTAAGACCAGACTCCTTCCACACGGTCGCCAGGTAATCAAATGCAGCTCCGCTCAGCACTGGCCCCTCAGCGGGAGGGTCTGGATCCTGCGGCCTCGCCCCCACCCCGGCCCTGTTACCCCGGCGACAGCCCTGCTGCCCACCCGGGCTCAGCCGACCTGCGCAGCCTTAAGTGTCGAAGCCTTTCACGAGAGGCAGACACAGCAGGACGCATCTGAGCCCCAGGACGCATCTGAGCCCCACTGCTTCCTTCCTTGCCTGGCCGGTAGCTTGGGGACTCCGGGCAGCGCCCCGCTCCAGCCTGCCGGTCCGCGGCGCCACGGGCGGGTGCGGGATGCGGGTCGTCAGCCTAGCGCGCAATTGTACCGCAGTACGCAGCGCTCACCTTGAAGGACATCCTGCACATGTCCGCGGCGGTCCCCGCGAGGGCCGGCGCGCTGCGGCCAGGCGCCCGCCTCTTCCCGGCCCTCCCCTTGCCCGGCGGGTTCCGCAGAGGGGCGGCCCCGCGGC